ATACATAAACACACATACATAGCCGCACACACAGGAGCATACATGCATACACACATGTATACATACATGTAAGTCCACATGCATACATACATGCATACACTCACCCATGCACAAACACGCAAATGAATCACTTTCATTTTATACTTGCATAATTGCTAACCTTTGCTGAAAATTTTAAAATTAAAATCAGTTTCTTATTGTTGAATAAAATAGCATACCAAATAGAACCAAGAGTTCAACCCCTTTGATGTTTTTTGGTAATGTGCCTAATTAAAAATAACTAGGCTCCCCAATGCATAATTACAGGAACACCTAATACACTACACTTGCAGCCAGATTTTATTCAATCATAAGTACGAGCCAGAAATATGAATGATCGCTATATTGTTCCCTGCTGTATCTGTACTGTTTCTGAATCAAAGCTCTTTCCTGAGTTGGGCATTTTCACTACACTTTTCCTTGCTGTGCAATCACCTCCCAGTTGGACAATTAATAAGTGATTTTCCTCCACAGCCCTCGATGTGCAGCCTGCTCTACCCACTCTTTTTGCATGCACAATACACCTTCTTCACTCTGACTAGTTTTGGCAGTGACCCACAATCTAAATCTCTTTTTCCCATTTGATATAAGTGAAACCATAATTATCTAGGGCTAATTTCAAATTACTACTTCATTCCACTTTTAACTGATGAAGATTAGTGGTCTTGCTTTGCATCTGAGTAAGTCAGCAACACAATCACAAGAGAACTCAGCGGGCAACATTTGATTCATGTGAACTCAATTACTTCTGTCAAACACATCCATTTCAATAAAAAGCAGAAACTTCCAAAATGGGCTTTTGCTAACCATTCTGTACTAAAAAAAAAAAACCATATGACTCCTGAGGGAAAAATAATACGGAATACATAAGAAATAAAAATAAATAACAGGTAAGGAAACGCACATGGCTAAACGGAATTGGGTTAGCATTTTTTTTTCTGAAAACAAAGAACATTTCAAAGAAATAATTTTGCACACTTACAGTAGTTAATTATAGAAATTTGAAACAAGCAGTTTAGCATTGCAAAGCCAATATATAACAGATTCTAAGTTAATAAAATAAAAACTAGTGTATTGTATTATTTGACCCAACACAGATTACTAAAGATAAAGCTGTCCACTTCTCTTTAGGGAAGTTCAGAAGTAGCTTCAAGTGACGTGCAGATAGAGGATCACGTATTTCTTAACAGGCCTTGTCCACTCAACCTATGCTCTGTTATCATTAGGGGTGAGACCATATAGTTAATTAACTGTCTAGCATTCTCAACCCTGAAATTCAATTTCTAAAAGTCTTGAGGTCAATCTCATCATGCCTACAGGGGTAAGAGGTCACAGAGGCATGATTGACCAGGTTTATCAGGTCATCACCTGGAGAATTCTGCAAATATTCATGTATGATAATGTATGACAATACATATATTCAAACTTCAGCTTCTTGACATAATTATAACCTTAATTAAGCCTTAACCTAATTTGATCAGTAGAGAGACTGAGTAATTAAATGTCATTAAGTAATAAGTCCACTTTATAAATATGTTTCAATAGGCCACTTTTGTGGTTTGACAAAATTGACTGAGATGGTGTCCACAGTGGTGAATACATGGAATGCCAACCATTTCAAAGCACGAAAATGACTTATTTCTGGCTATTAAGAATTTGGTCTCAGAGTCTTTGGCCAAGAAACCATTATTTTAGAAGATTTTTTTAAATATAATTTTGAACAGAACAAGAAAATTTTCTGTATGTGAATAGAAATGTAAAATAAACCAGTAAAACAGTATTTTGCACACATTTGTATATTCTCTTTTCTCTACTCACTTTCCTCTTCATTTCCAATTTTTTTCTCACTCCTTAATTCAAATATGTACCACTCTTGCCATAAGAAGTGAATAACACAATGGAAGTAGAATCATTAATTATATAATAAATTATAAACTAGGCAAAAACTGCAACTCTAAATGATTCTATGAAAAGGCAGTGTGTAAGTAAATAAGAGCGATCCTTGATCCAGTGCTGATAAGTCATAGCATCCCTCAAGAAACAGTACTGGAGTGAAGATTGGAAGGGTGAGTAGGAATTAGCCAGGAATGATAGAGACAGGTGGTTATTCAAGGAAGCAAGAGATGAATTATAAAAGAACAAGTAATACTATGCAAAAGTGCTTTTGAGAAACTGAGAATAGCTTGTATGTTTAGCATGTAGAGGAGGGCAATTAGCACAGAGACAATGTTGGCTTTCTTGCTGCTGGAGTTACAAACAATTGTAAAATGCCATATGGAAGGTGGGAAATGAACTTAGGTCCTCTGCAAGAGCATCTGTATTCAACCACTAATTGAGCATACTATGGAATAGTTTAAAGACTCTTTTTTTTTTTTAACAACATGACCTTTCCAGTTCATCCCCACTGTCACTCATTGTGGTCTCTACTCAATTATAAAGAGTATGAGGTGAGAAAGAAAAGATTAGTGTTAAGCTCTCACACTAACATATATTAGGTCAGATGCAGTACTCTCTTGAGATATGATACATTCAATGATAAGTGTCAATAGAATGCTTTCGTCTCATCAATTCAAATTTTATCCTATAAGGGTTCAGGGGCTTCCTATACCCTTCTGTCATTCTGAATGAAAGCAAATTTTGTAGTGATCTAATTTAGCCTCCACTTACTCCCTAAAATATTGTTAGTAATCAGTCAAGTAGATTGTTGTTTTAAACTGGCAACAATTTTAAGACATTATTAGTAAACTGCATATTTGTAATATTCTATATAGTAATTTAATTGATGTTTCTACCATACAATTACGTATGACCTCATCATAAACTAATGCAACTGTTCATAAACAAAAGACAAGGTATTAGTTAGACCTGTCACATAAATAAGATCAAATGAGCTATGATTTACTTTCCCAACAAACTTAGAAACACTTGACAACATTCTTAGTGTGTGTGTGTGTGTGTGTGTGTGTGTGTGTGTGTGTGTGTGTGTGTGTATGTGTATGTGTGTGTGTATTTGTCTGTGCATGTGAGTATGTGTATCAAGAATAGTTTCTATTAAAAACAGCTATAGAATTACCTATAAATAATATTATAAAGGTCCTAAAATAGGAGATGTTTTCAGAAAAGGAAACTTTATTGCATGAAAGAGTTTTTGAGAAAATTAATAAACCAGCTTAGTTATGATTACCAGGTCTAGTCGGAACATTTCTGTGTCCCGGCCTGACAGCAATTGGGACAAGTCTCTCCCACTCACATTCCCCAAATAATTTTCCTTGGTTATTATAAAAGATAAATTAGATTTGAAACTTTAGACTCACAAATATAGGATAGATAGAATATTTTCTTTAATTTTGCCAAATACAAATAGACTAAATATTGTAACTGTAATTCTTGATTGATAACTGTTCTATTATATGTAATTTTACTATGCTAAAGTTAAAATCTTCCTTTTTGATTAGATAGAAAAGGGGAGATACTGTGGGATGTTCTGTATGCTGTGAATATGTGTTGCACTGATTGGTTGATAAATAAAATGCTGATTGGCCAGTAGCCAGGCAGGAAGTATAGGCAGGATAAGCAGACAATGATAATTCTTGGAAGAGGAAGGCTAAGTAGGAGATGCTAGCCCACCATCCAGGGAGCAGCATGTGATGACACACAGGTAAAGCCACAGAACACATGGCAACATATAGATTAACAGAAATGGCTGAGTTTAAGTGTAAGAGCTAGTCAGTAGGAATCCTGAGCTAATGGCCAAGCAGTTTTAATTAATATAAGCCTCTGTGTGTTTACTTGAGTCTGAGCAGCTGCGGACTGGGTGGGACACAGGAAAACTTTCAGCTACAACGAGGTAAATGATGCAGTTTTTTCTCCCTAGATCTGTGATCAATCTAAAGTCAAGATTGAGCAAGATAGATTGTTTTGTACATATACAAGGGACTTAAGAAATAACACTTATGAATCTACAAGAAGTGATTGAGGGTCTGCATAGCATTATGCTCTCCCCTCGGACAATACACACAAACCTCTTGTTATCTACTTAAAATTAAGAAATCATGTACAAAACAATTTGAAACCCATAAGAGCACACATTTTCAAAGGGGAAAATGTCTTTCCTTATACACTGTTCTCCACTTTGGCATAAAGTACTATCCTGTTTCAAAAACCCATTGATAAATAGCCAAGACTAAAAGGACAACTTACCATACTCTGGGCAAAGTGAGAGCATTTTCAAATGAATGAAGAAGCATGCATGATCAAGTTTCAATTTAAAAGAAAAATTAAAACAGAAAAAAAATCTCCAAGTGCAAATTGCTTTGAAATGACCTTTCTGTAGTGGCTCTGTCTCCAAACAGCTATTTTCATGGGGCACTGCTTATTATGCATTTAAAATTGATCTATAAATTTTGAAAAGCAAGCATATAATTGCAACCATATGTAAACAATGTAGTAAGCTAAGTCCTGCGAGATGACAAATGTTTTTCTGAGAAGTTCATGTCGCTGAACTTATTTTCAAGGAATTTTTAAATGGAAGTTAAAAGCTTGCCAAGACAAGTCTCCTCTAAGATTTTTTGCATTTGAATTCTGTACGGCAAAACAAAGATAGAAATAACTTCATGACAGAATACCACAGCCGTAGACAGACATCAACCCTACAGTGGATGGTAGCAGGCCATTGGTTGTGCCATTCACAATAAAACTTCTGTGAATGATGTGAATATAAAACATGATAGTGAAAATCACACACTCCCTGAGCATTAACTATGTATACCCAGTAAAGCAGTGCATTAAAACTTTCATCATTGCTTCAAAATTTTGAGATTCAGAGAAGAAAAAAAAAATTGAAGAGAAATAATCTCCATAAATTAACAAAATAAAAGGTCACTTGTAACCACTGAGGGAAATACAAATACAGGATCCAAGAGAAGCACAAAGCCCTCACAAATCCACAGGAAAAGGCTTACCTTGACAGGTGCCATTTTTCTCTTCATATCCAGCCTTGCACATGCATTTCCCGATGGGAACCAGCCACTCCCCTTCAGCACTGCAGTGCATTTTGGGAGGATCGTCTGTCACAGAATGGTTGACACAGGAGCCTGACACCTCTAACAGCTGTGAAGAATCAGCTCCAGTGATGGTGTCAGGGAAGATAGCCAAGTGTCTTACCACCGAAGGACATTTTTTATAGTATACACGCACAGAAACCAGAGCAATGCAAGCACCGACGTCTTGGAAAGCGAGATAAAATCCCTTTTTACTCAGAGGCCCGACATCTCTGACCTCTGTGTTCAGCTTCATGACACGGTCTCCAAGATCAAGTTCTGTGAAGCTCTCATCAGCAGCAATGGTATCAATCTTGATGTACTGGTTCTCTTTAACATTTCTCCCGTTCTCATCATCCGACTCAAAATAATACATGTTGAATGTCTCCTTACAAGTGCCGAGTCCTCCAGGAAGGCTGTTGCAATCCCTTAGCGTAAATTTCAGCTCAATAAAGATTCTGGAAGCACCTTCATTGGAGATCCAACTGGTCAACAGCCAATTATTCTGATTCTGTTCCATGACTCTGCATACTTGGTAGGTGTGGATAGGCGCATAGTTTTCATCAACTTCTCCAATCTCTTCCCACTGTACAAGACAAAATAGAGGGATGTGAAAAAACTGGAAACTCAAAAAGGAAAAAGGAAAATCACATTCACCAAAAAACCAAACAAACCATAAAACCTAATATACATGCCTCATACATATCATAAAATAAGTCATATAAAAAGTTTTGCCAGAAGAGAGTCACAAAAACGTTTTGATTTTCTGAATTTCATGTTAGGGATTCAATCTGAGGTCTCATACACACTAAGCGTATACTCTTGCACAAAGCTACAATCTACACCCCCATTTGTTATGTACATCATTGGATTAACCCAAAGATGGAAAAATGTGAATGAAATGCTGTAGCAGGAATCTTAAAAGTTCTTATTAATAAAATCAAACCTGAGCCAGGTATTGGGGTGAACTGGAAGATCAGAGAGACAGAACAAGCCACAGCTAACCTCACCTGGCCAATTTCTCAGCTGATCTTGTTTCCTCAGGCTGGAAGCCTCTGTGTCCTCATATCCAAATGGCTTTCAGCTGAACTGTGCTGCTCAAAACCTAAAAGCTTAACCATCCAAATGCTTGACCAGCCAAATGCTTCTAGTTTCTGGTCCTCACGCCTTATATACCTTTCTGCTTTCTACCATCACTCCCTGGGACTAAAGGCTCACTTTCTGGGATTAAAGACGTGTGTCACCATGCCTGGCTGTATCCTTGAACAGATGGATTTCTGCCTCTGGAATGCTAGGATTAAAGGTGTGAGTGCCACCATTTTCTAGCCTTTGTATCTAGTGGCTGTTCTGTCTCTGACCCCAGATAAGTTTATTAGGGTGCAAAATATTTTGGGGAACACAATACCACCACAAAATGCCCCAAATGGGAAAAAATAGTTTTAGAATAAAAATTTTAAAAAGAGATTCATATTTCCTCAAAGAAGAAGGAAAATAGGTTAGATGGAAAAAAGATAAGTCTCTAAATAAGATTAAAACTATGGTATAGATAGTGTCTATAAGTTCTATGTGTTAAAAGTTTGATCCCAGCCCACAGAACTGTTTGGAAGCTATTGGCACAGTGAACAATTATGGGTCTAACTAGGGAACAACAATATGATGTTGACAAGGGTACACAGCAACAAAGTGACTACTACTGACATATTGATATACCCGTAGATGAGTACACCACTCAACCCTTATCAGAGAAGCTTCTTCTTGCAGTAGATGACAATTAACACAGAGACCCACAAAGGGACAATGTGCAGAGATGGAAAGATTGTAGAGCATCTACTAAACAGACTTTTGTTTGTTTGTTTTGTATGTTTTTGTTTATCTTTATCAAACCCTTTCCCTCAAGGCTATGCAGAATAGGAGACAGAAAGATTGTAAGAGCCAGAGGGAATGGATGACTCCAAAGAAACGATGTCTTCCATACACAATAGGACTGATGCACATATGAATTTACAAAGAACTGTGACAGCACACAAGACCTGCACAGGTTCAAAGCAGACAAAATCCCAGCACTGAGAAGGGGAAGTGGACACCAAGATTCACCCCTAGCCAAGAAGCTATTCACAACACTGCCTGCTAGGAAAGGGAAAATCTGTTTTCTCCAATGGAGTCTCCCATTCCAAGGGTAGGCCCCATGCCCAGATATAATTGACCACTCCATATTTTTAGGGGGGTGCCTTTTTTGTTTCCTTTTGTTTCGGTATTTTTGTCTTATTTTGTTTTGTTGGTTTTGATTGCTGATTACAGATTTTTTTTTTTTTTTGAGAGGGAGAAAGGTCATTAAAAAGGTTAGGAGAGAGATCAGAAGGAACTGGGACGAGTTGGGGGAGAGGAAAGAATATGCTCAAAATATATTTTATGAAAAAAATTAAATAAAAAGAAAATAAAACACTTGAGGCCTTGAGAGAGATCATGAATCCATTTCACAGGTTGCTTCAAAGGGAATGAGAGGGTCTAGTCCTTTCTTTTCCTCTTTCTGTTGTATTCTGGTCAGGTAAGCAGTTTTCTCTGCCACATACCCTTGCCAGCACTGCTGGTCAATCCCAGGGCTAGGAGTAGTGGGGCCCGATTGATCAAAAACCAAGTCCGTTAAAACTTCAAACTAAGATTTAACTTTTCTTTCTATGACTTAATTACAGCAGGTATTTGTTGTAGGAGTTTAAAGATAACAAGGTAAGTAAAGTTTAACTGGAAAATTACATATATATATAATATATAAAAACATAAAACAGTATAATTATAAAAAAGAAAATAAGAACAGAGAACAGAAAGGACACAAAAGAAAGATATTACATTTGAGAACATAGTCATTTTTTAATATTGTCATGTTGTAAACGACACATCAGTGTAATAAAATTTGGAAGGAAATCTATTAACTCAAAATTAATAATAGATATTTAATCCTTTATATTGATTCTGAAACATAACTCAGACAACGAGGAGTTATGAATCATTTAGTCCCACTAAAATACTCCCATTTTGAGAATATCAACATATCAAATTCCAGAACAACACAATTATAGACATTCATTTTTAACACATTAGTTGAATTTAAGAAATTTTGTAAGCTTGTACAGACTCTACTTGAACATAACTCTATATAATTAAGTGTTTTAATCCTAGAAATACAGCCAGCAATGAATATTACTGAATTTCAATAAATGAAGAATATATAGCTTCAGATATCAGATATTATACATAACACTCAGAGAAATTAATTTCGGCGGATGTGAAATTAAAGAGAGCATTGTTTGTTCTTTCTGTTCAGTTAGCAAGAATGTAGCAAATGTGGAGTCAAATAGACAGAAAAATACCTTACACTTCAGACAGCCCACCTAAAACCTCTAGCTGCCATCAGACAGACACGTGTAGAAGGTGCGAGATAAAACTGCTGAGTGACAAATTCACAAGAGCAACAGAGGAACATCATGATAAAAACTTTTACACTTATATGTCATTACAGGACTAAGTTTTTTCGTCCTGTATCATTTCTTCTCTCTTTAAAATGTTTCAACTTTGCTTAGCCACTGATTTTATAGCAGCTATTTTGTCCTTCTACCTGTATTATATTATATTATTATATTAATTATATATTCCTATATTATAAATCATCTCTTCACATCATAGTCAATAGTTAAAGTAAAAGAACTAAAAATAAAAAAGTTTAAAAAAATCCATTTACCATAATAGGTATGTTTTATATTAGTAAAGGGGAATATCAAATTGGTAAAAGAAAACTAAAAGTACTACTGCTTAAATACTCATCTTACTTCATGATAATCTTTCAAACAAAGCACAACTAGATTTTTAATCATTAGCCTTCAAATACTTGTAGAAGACTTGTGTCTCCATCATATATTGATATAAGGTCCAGGAGGCTCCAAGATCAGAAACCAAGGCAGTCACAGCCCTTTAGAGGGAAGAACAAATACTAAGAGTGAAAGCCTAGCAGCATTTGACAGGGCAGCTACATACTTCCAGCTTCAGGTGCCAATTTCAAAACATGTGTGTGAATGTCTTGCTGCTCTGAGTTGTTTTAGTTAATGGGAAGAAAATATTTAGAATCTGTTCTAGTACAATTTTACTTATTTATACTTTTCAAGAATAAAACTGGAGGTTCACAATATATGTTTCATGAATAAAGAGAAAAACTTAAAACATTTTGACGGAAAAGATTATCGACAGGGACTATAGAGATTTCCCATGACTGTCCTTGGTTAAACAAACACTTTCAACAACGAGAAAAAAAATTTCATTTATTTTTGATTATCTGAAATAATAGCTTTAATTCTTTGGCAGTTTTGTTCCTCCTGGCATAGAGAAATGATCTTTCTGTTCTGAGAAAAAAATATATAATGGAGAAATAAAACAAATAAAATAATGATGAAAATATCCATCAAGAATTCAGGAAAGGAGTAGGTAAATTTCCAGTTTCTTTTACAAAAGTCATATCAAGGAGATTGTAGCAATTTAATGAAAGTTATGAAAAATAGTATCTGTTCAGGTTTTTTTTGGGGGGTAACCTATGACTGTGGTTGACAATGTCTATATATGCTATTTTTTGATTGTTCCCAGGGACGAATGTGTGAATTTTGGAAGGGGGGCCCACTCAACTGTAGTAAGGTGGACACACGTCTGCCTTTGTCAGTCAGGGCAATTCAGTTCCTCAGGGTCCATACTCTAAGAGTATGTTCTTCTCTGTAGCGTTTTCCTGCTTATTCCCTATGTGTTTGCCTTAAAATTTAAGTTCTGGTTGAACAGATAGCTTAGGTTGACATGACATTCTCTTCCACATGTTTATGTTTTGTTTTGTTTTTTTGGTTTTATATATACATACATACATACATACATACATATAAAACTTTCCTCTGGCTTGGAAAACTCCTGCGAAGTTGTATTCTTCATTCACACATCCTCAGGCCTCCCATGTCACCCACACTCACGAGGAAACTGAGTCACTGATTAATATGTATGGAACAGACTGGTTTTTTTTCCCCTCCCTAACTGTAAGAATGATTTTCTTCGATCTGCTCTCACTGCCCTTTTAAGTTTCTTGCCTGGAGAGTCAGCTATCTCCTTCTGCTTCAACATGACTCTCATTTCCCATCCACCAGCGCATGTATTACGTCTTTTTCCTTTAATACTTGAAAATACTCAGGACACAGAGTTCAGGCTCTAATCTTCCTTTAGATTGTGCTCCCAACTCCATACTAAGAAGCATTGTGGGAATGGAGTTGATTCTGACCTTTACGTTATCAGAGGTAACAGATCATCAAGTTCTGTTTTCGTTATTTTATTTCTATTTATCTTTTTTCTGCATCAAGGAATTAATCAATTGAGATCAAGGAACAATGATAAGAAACTCCACAGTCAACTTCTGAATAAAGATGCTTGACTGCCATTGTTCAGAGGGAAATTGTGCCTGGCAATTCAGTTTTAGTCCCAAATATTCTGATATCTTAAGGTATAAACAGGAATGCAGTCACTGGAACAAGAGCTCTGTAAACTGAATTGAGAACCGAAGCTATCTACTGT